AAACACGGAAAGTAAATATTTTAGCATTTCAATTGCATAAATGTAGAGCTAAGTGTCGCAAAAAAAACTTGCAAACTTGATTTCCCAAAATGTTAATTTTTACACATTCCTGTTTATGGCATACGGACGACGATATGTATACTCCCATACTAATAATAAATATATATTTTGTCCTAGTGAGCTCCTGGTAACTGCCACAGTTATGAAATTTTTACACAACCTAGATGAAAATGTAGCGGTCATTTCAACATTGGCTTCGGGTAAAAATGTTTAAATAATTGAAAAACGAATATATTGCCTCCCCTTTGATAATGAATGGTGGAAGAGGATAGTCTTTCGTCTCGACAACTTGGCCACTCTCCAGCATAAGGCAGCCGTCGTTAACCCATGTATTCTACCTTCATTGTGAGCCCATTCTTGAAGACAATTTTTATAAAAGAGAGCTTATCTTTCCAATAAAGAATGGGCTTCACCACATTTGCTTCTCGTCTTCTACATTTACATTTCATTTTCAAAGTAAAGTTATTTATAAATACATGTACGCGTCAAACAATTATAAAATATTCGCTTTTAAAAACTTGGAAATAACTATCGCTTTTCTATATATCGAAATTTTTGAAATATCGATCTATCACACCAAAAAACATTTGAAATTTCACATCAATATTTAAGACTCCTTGTTAAATAATAGTTAAAAGTAGCATGCATTTTTGCTTAGTGGAATTCATTTTTTTTATCATTTGTCTTTGACGTTTCTCCTCTGTTTACCAAAAGTAATCGATAAATCAGAGATACAGACGGAAAAGTTGTGCTTTCAGTGCAGGATTATTTTATAACTTGGGTTTTCGGAGAGAAATCTTGTATTCTTAATTACATATTGGAAAGTCAAACTCAACCTCACTTTTTCTTTTGTTTTACAAATTTTCACTCTAATAAAATATTGTGGTTGTTCACACTTGCCTGGTTATCAGCTTATCAGGTTAAAAATAATTTTTCTTTGGTGTATTTTATTGCTGCACAACAACATTGTAATTTATATATTTTATATATTTTATATTTCGTAATGCCTCACAAAGTATTTTTGGGTAAAGTATTTGGGTATGTATTTACATTTTCAGCGATCTGGCATTACATACTTCGCGGCCATCGCTCAACAATTGTGTGTTTACGATTGTTTGGAATAGAAACTTATTTTAAGAACAATTTTATAAACATTAATTGTTAAAAATTTAGTAAAAACAATGTGCATTCATTCCCTGCAGGGAGTGACGTTAGCTTATACCTAACTTTAGTCTGTTTACGCGAACACTAGTGCTAACTATTAACTGTGTATTTTGTTCGAAAAAAGCTAACTACTTTTGTGGGGCGATGGCCGCAAAAAAGTCAGACCTGGATACCTCTGCATTACATGTCAACTAACTTGTAACTAACTACTTTTGGACATAAAATATCAATAAGAAAAACAAAATATTTTTTTGTTTTTTTACTTTTTTATTTACTTATTTATTTACTTTATTTTATTACATTTCATATTTGTTTACATATTCTGCTCTGGGTGGCCCCATATTCGAACACCGTCAGACATAACTTCAAAATGATAGTATACAATTTCGATCTTCCTTTTATTTGTCCTGAATATGAGAAAGAATCTGCGAAGTGCAGAAAAAAAGTGTATTGAAAGTAATTTTTGTATGAGGATATTTAATAGAAACTTGTAAAGAAAACCAACTCCCGATTGCGTCTGCATGACTCCTGCACGACTTTACAATTCACTTTAAGTTGGTTTTGTCATAGCTAATTAAAAGTGAGCTATTAATCGAAATCTCGCCAAAAAGCTAAATATAAGTTGGTTAGTTTTAACAATTCATAATTTTTCACTGCAGGGTTTCTTTATGAAAAAAAGGTGTTATAATAATAAAATGAAAAGTGATTAGTGCAGTGTATAAAAAGAGTGAAGTAACGGGGAAATTTAAACAACAAATAACTTTAAAACGGTTTTCATTTGTACACAAATTCTTGAAGATATCGGTCAACGAGCAGTTCCTCAGCACCTCTGAGAATTTCGCTAAAAATTGGTTATACTTTGCCTGATATAGGAAATGGTCCATTATTGGAAACCTCAGCCCAGCAGCCTTCCGGATATCCGATCGGATATCCGAATCCAGCTCTTATTTTTTACATGGTATCCGGAATCCGGTTATCCGGCAAAATCCCTATCCGGCACATCCCTAGTTAAAAGAAAAGAAGAATAACTGAAAGTATTATTTATTTTTCATTTTCCAAATGTGAAAGATCTGTTGGCAGACATAAATTCTTACATTTAGAAATTTTACGTGCAAGACCTCCAACAATTATAAAATTTAACTATCAGAATTTTAATCATAAAAAAAATATTGGGTAATGTTTTCAAATATAAATGTATGGATGTACGTACGGATACATTTGGTAATATGAGGATATGTTTTCATTCATTAATACTTATATTAAGCGATTGTGCAGGTTTAACTCACATATATTAAAGTTTGTTGAACTGATGTAAAAAATAAACCATATAAATATATAAAGTATGTTATTTGTTTTGTCTTATTTTATGGCCTTATAATAATTATATTCAACAATTTTTATGAGCTTGAGGCCGTTTTTAGTGAAAACTTATTGTGGAAAAGCACAACACTCTAATAATAGAAATATTAACAAAAACCATCAAAACCAACAACCACATGATCAAGTGAATTGCAGCGGAATAGCTGCGCTTGATTGTAGTTGGCTTAGCAAAGTGAAATAGTGGAAATAAGCAACAAGAATTAACAAGGCAAACTTAGCACAGTGCGTAGGCAACTGGCTGAGTCAGTGGTGATCGTCGGTTCGAATCCTACTGAAAGAAGTCTGATGAGGAAATGTGGTGATTTCCGAAATAGCTATCACTTCTACCATTTTTTCAAATTATTGTTGCTTTTCCACAATAAGTTTTCACTTAAAACGGCCTCAAGCTCATAAAAATTGTTGAATATAATTGTTATAAGGCCATAAAATAACAAAAAAAAAAAAACAATTAACTTAAGGACGAGCACACTTAAAAGTTAAACATTCTAAAACTAGAATTATTAGCAAAAACCAACAAAACCAACAACCATATGATCAAGTGAATTGCAGCGGAATAGCTGCGCTTGATTGTGTTGGCATAACAAAAATGAAAATAGTGGAAAAAAGCAAACGATAATTTACAAGGCGTACTTAGCACGGTGCATAGGCAACTGGCTGAGTCAGTGGGATCGTCGGTTCGAATCCTACTGAAAGAAGTCTGATGAGGAAATGTGGTGATTTCCGAAATAGCTATCACTTCTACCATTTTTTCAAATTATTGTTGCTTTTCCACAATAAATTTTCATTTAAAAAATGGCCTCGAGCTCATTATAAAATTGTTGAATATAATTGTTAAAAGGCCAAAAAATAACAAAAAACAAATAACTTAAGGACGAGCACACCTAAAAGTTAAGCATTCTAAAAATAGAATTATTAGCACAAACCAACAAAACCAACAACCACATGATCAAGTGAATTGCAGCGGAATAGCTGCGCTTGATTGTAGTTGGCTTAGCAAAGTGAAATAGTGGAAAATAAGCAACAAGAATTAACAAGACAAACTTAGCACAGTGCGTAGGCAACTGGCTGAGTCAGTGGCGATCGTCGGTTCGAATCCTACTGAAAGAAGTCTGATGAGGAAATGTGGTGATTTCCGAAATAGCTATCACCATATATGTAATACTTCTATATTGGCAGTAAGCTAACTTTTCTATGTGTAAGCATTTCGAAATCAAAGCGAGACAGTCTAGTACCGTTTTTTGTCAAAGTATTGAGTACTTGAGTGCCGTTTGTGTATATGTGTTGTGTACATGTTTATTTATAAACGTATGTGTTCCTTTTCTTTCGTACGCGTTTATTGATATATCTGTACTGTAGTGTTTTCGGACGGTACTAGCTCTTACTGCCATTATAGGAGTATTACATATATGCTATCACTTCTACCATTTTTTCAAAATTATTGTTGCTTTTCCACAATAAGTTTTCACTAAAAACGGCTTCAAGCTCATAAAAATTGTTGAATATAAAAAGTATGGTTATGGTGTAAGCTAAAGCATACACTTATTTTTTCTGGTAACCAGGCGATATTTGTGCGTAAAGTATCGATATCTGATATTATTGTCCAAAAAAAAATCGCGCCGATAATATCGTATCGGAAGAAAAAAATATCNTCATAAAAATTGTTGAATATAAAAAGTATGGTTATGGTGTAAGCTAAAGCATACACTTATTTTTTCTGGTAACCAGGCGATATTTGTGCGTAAAGTATCGATATCTGATATTATTGTCCAAAAAAAAATCGCGCCGATAATATCGTATCGGAAGAAAAAAATATCGTCAATGTCGATATATCGATATAATATCAACGATCCTATTCTCTACTACTAAATTTAGTTATAATGAAACGAGAAAGCACTATCGCTAAAATGTTTAGTGGTAGTGAAGAAAATTTCACTAAGCTGGCGATATATAACACTTGGCGAAATGCGAAACGAACGATATTAATGTTAAAACCAAAATCGCTATCGTCCATTGTTGCTAGCTAACTTTTTGTTGCTTTCACATAAAACATTTTTTGTGAAGCGACCTGAACTCAAACATAGCAAGCCGAAAAGTGGCGAATCGATGATGGCTAAATTATGCAAAACCGATGTACTTTTTTCAATATAACTACAAATTTATTTAGTGCTAGTGAAATGCACTCAAAATTTAGTTAAATTGTTTGCTTTTTTATAGCTTGATTATTATTTGTAAGATTACGCTCTTGTAAATATTTTTGGTTGTGTTTTTATTATACGCCAGCTTTTTCCTGCATCCCTTCATGATAAAACTTTTTCGTTAACATAAATTTTATTACACAAGTATGTACATATTTTACAAAATTTGTATTTTCGAACCTCATTGTATGGGCATTACAGCGCAAAACACCAATTGACTGGGAGAAATGCCCATATGTACCACGAGCTTCATTAGTGGCTGATCCTATTACTGCTTTTGGATCGCATCGCCCAGATAGTGAACGTCGAAAATGCTCAATACTTGACCCGATAAACCGCGAAGCCATCAAGCCAAACTATCGTATATTACATGAACCCATTAAGCCTTACGTATCGGCCAGAGATAGAAATAGGGAGAGGATTTTAAATCTGGCCCGTCAACATTTCGATGCCGTAGAAGCCGGAGGTACCACCACCGCTCGCATTTCACGCGATAGCATTGATGCAATCCTGCCACGCATACACCGAGCCGCCTCCGAGAACTTGAAGCCTGTTCGGAGGGAAAGTTACCGCAACGAGCGATCAGGTGCTACGGTCACAAAATACTATTATTAAGTTAATAAAGCACTTTAAATAGAATTGCTCTTACGAGTCTGTAAATTCAAGATAACAAATGAATAAACATACATACATATACATATTGGAAATAAACTAAAACTAGTAAATTGTATCACTAAATGCATATACATACATAAGTTTTTTGTTTAAATAGTTAATTTAACAAAAATCGTTGGAACAAATGCGATTATTTTACTTTTCTTTAGTACATACTAGGGATGTTCCGAGTGTGGAGTTTTAGACATCCGCGGATGTTTAAAAGCTAACATCCGCGGATGCGGATACGAATGCGAATGTCAAGTATTTTTAAGAAATAATTTAATTGAGTACATTAGGCGATTTATGTAGATAAAAAATAGAAAAGTTAGTAAATTTCAAAAATGTTTTTTTTTTTAATTAGTACTTGAATTTAAAAATTGGAACATTGTATTTAATAAAGAGTAATTTTGCGGGTTACAGCCTGTTTCTTAACGGGTCGTAAATCATACCTGCGCCACTGCTTATAGCGAGGTTCTAAATTGATGGATATGGAAAATAAATTGTTATTTTCAAGGAACGAAAATTTTGAAGAAAATTCTGTTTTGAAAGTCGTGGCTGCCAGCCGAATTTATTTAAAATCTTGTTATTTTGTTAAAAATGTACCCCGCTTTTTATAATAATTTGAATTATTGGAATCACGGACGATTAAGGTCTCAAATCTGCTTAGTTCCCGGGTGACTCCTTGGAAAGGTTCACCTGTAATAAATAGCTTGTAATTAGTTTTTTATTAGCTGAGCTCGACTTTTCCTAGTTGCAGGCAGTCACAATTAATTACTACCGCTGTCGGTACCAAAAGCCATCAAATCTGTTGTGTTGTTCCATGCCATGCGCTCAATGTGCTTTGATATTTTGAGCCGAATGAACGCCAGTTTTCAACATATCGCTAATATAGTACGGATAGGGCGTATTTCATATTGTCGCTGAAATACAAAAAAGCTACAACTAACTAAAATTTTGTATTGCATAAAACGATGTGGGGACTTATGATTCGATGAAATGCATCATAATCAATCAAGAATTGAATTTTGGATTTATAGTTAGTTGCGGCTTTATGTATTTCAGCGACGATGTGAGTTACGCCCTTTCCATACTATACTAACGATATATTGCATGCCAAGTCCCACTCCTCAATAGATATTAAATTCGCCTTGAATTAATTCTTATTTCACTTGTGAACTTGGCTGTCAACATATTCACATATCATTTTATCTTTATTTCGATGCAAGCTTATTTTGATAATTATCAGAAAATTAAAATGATTGTTGTTGTTTTCGAGCTGAATGACTAATAAAAGGAAACACGGAACTTAATCATTATAAGTTTTATGAGAAAATAAATAATTACACATATCTAAGAAAATGTAAAAAAAAATCTAGCGATGCATCCAGTTTTTTCAACAGAGCTTTGACAAATAATATTCGATAATTACATAATTCTTACCTACTTAAAGTTTACCTTTTAACGCGAAAATAGTCGGTTCTCTTTATAGCTAGACATTGAACATTGCCGCTGGAAATACCTACACTGAGAGAAAAATCAGTAAAAAATTGGTTAATATTACCAAATTCAAACTTGAAAAGAATCAACGTGATTTTAGGTTAAAATTAACAATGCCTCGGTTGATATTTTCAACAATAATTTGATATTAACACCAATTTGTTGTTAACACCAATTTTGTTTACATTAACCAAATTCTTGGTTGGCGATTATTCGTTTGAATACGTGTATGTTCTGCACTCCACAGATGCTTTTTTATAATTCGGAGATACAAAAAAGAAAAATTTATTATAATTTTAACATGTTGCCTCTGGTGGGATTGGCAAATAACAGCAAGGATCTCTACACACTACAACCGCTTTATGTGTCTTCAAATGCTCAACTTGAATCAATTTTCTTCGTCGTTTGATTTGGTTCTGCATTTCACAGAGGCTTTTTCGTAAATTAGAAAAACCTAAAACAGAAAAAAAATAAAAATTATCTATCGGCATTCGTACTGCTGGAATCCAACAAATAACAGCAAACACCTCTCCACGTTCAGCCACTGCCATACATACGAATTAATTCTCAAATGTTCAACGTGAATCACATTTCTTACAACTGGCTCATTGACCATAAAAAAATCGAACCATAACTTGGTACAAAAAACCATTGTGCTTCTGGCTCAGTGTATTGAAGGATCTTACTCTTTGACTATAAATTACAGAAGAAGGGGGGCGTAGGGGGACAGACTTAAAACGTAGCATCTCCACAGGCAAAAAATTTTAGCTACAATTTATACTTTTGTTTGCCAGATATACGTTTTATCAGTGCACTTGCACAATATTCGCATTCGAAAAAATTAAAATTAATCACCCATACATGGGTGATTCTCTACAAACTGACATACTCTTATGCTGCCCATCTATTACCGCTCAATGGTGATGAAATGTTGAAAATTTTCACAATGCCAATAAAGATGGTCGTCGGTCCCTACGAAGAGTAGCGCATTTCACTATTAGCGTCGAAGACTAGCACATTTCATTATTCGCGTCGAAAAGGAGCACATTTCAGATTCTCGCGTGGAAGACTAGCACATTTCATTATTTGCGGGGAAGAGTAGCACGTTTCAGATTTTTGCGTGGAAAAGTAGCACATTTCAGATTCTCGTGTGGAAAAGTAGCACATTTCTTTATTTTTGTGGAAAGAGTAGCACATTTCAGAATCTTGCGTGGAAAAGTAGCACATTTCAGATTGTCGGGAAGACAAAAGTTGTATGTAATCAGGGTTGCGTGATTTTGAATTAGTCAAATCACAAATCCATAAATCAGATTTATTTCGGAATTTAAAGTTGCATCAAATCATGTGATTTGTCGACCAAATGAAAAGTAAAATTTAATTTTGATTTGATTCATCAACCAAATATAAAATACCGACTGTCGCTGCAGATGACAACGTGCTGTCTTCTTGGTTGTCTCTGCATAATTACTTCCGCACAAATATCGATGGCAAAACGTCCACCTGAAAGATCCCCAGAGGAATGGAGATACTGAATTTGGGGCCATGTATTCCTGCCACTATACCTTCGTCGGTTTTGGAGCCATCTATGAACCACCTTTGGGTGTGGGGCCGAAAGGTGTTATCTAAGATTGTCTTTTTCCAGGTTGCCTTGCTGCCTAGTTCAGTTCGAAACTTTCTCTCAAAGGTTCTTATCGTAACCATGTCATCTCTATTGAGCTGGAAGAATGGAATATTGTTTTTGAATTCCTCTCCCAGCCTGCTCGAAACCACCTTGCCTTTTGCAGTGCCCTCCCTCATGAAATTGAGGAGTGCTTTCTTGGCGGTTTGTTCTATGACTATGTGTAGTGGCGACAGATCCACGATTATCTCCAGGGTTGCTGTGGGACAGGTGCGCATGGCACCTGTTATACAAGTACACGCCAGTCGCTGGAGCCTGAAAAGCGGCGCTCTTACCGTGTTGAGGCAGCCTGCTCGGACCATGCCACTGCCCCATATGTAACTATTAGCCTGAAAATCATTGTGTACATCTATCGTAGGATGTGGGAGCTGCACCTCCACGATTTGCCAGCCAGTCTTCTGAGAACCATTAAAGCTCGTGTGGCTTTTGCTACAGCGTACTCAATGTGCTTATTCCATAACGTTTAGCTGTCGAAAATGAGCCCTAGGTACTTTAGTTCATTGCACATTTCTCTCTCCATGTCTCCTAATGTTATAGAATGCACGCCTGGAAGGCTTCTTCTCCTGGTAAAAGGAATGATGGCTGTTTTCGCGGAGTTGATGTTAAGACCAACCGCGCCACACGATCTGCTACAATGTAGCGGAGGTTACTTTCAAATCTGCCCCTCGCTATAATTTGTTGGATAGTAACTCAAATAGTTCGACTACCAATATGCTCCTCCATCGCAGAGGAGACAATACGCCACCTTGCGGGCAGCCTTTTACCGTCATCAACTATATGATATTATTGTCAGCTACGGTCTCTGCCAGTCATGTTTGCAGCATTGTACTGATCCATCTTCGAATCGGGATGGCTACATTACTTCTCTCCAGAGCTCGATCTACTGTGGGAGATAGGCCAGTGCCAGACTTTCAAGCATGTTCTTGATTAGGATCGGGGTAAGCAGATCCAGTTCTTTTTGGGGTAAAATCGGCCATAGGCCGTCCACCCCAGGGGTCTTATAGGGTTCAAACGAATCTATGGCCCATCGTACGGTCGAGCAGGTGAACAGGCATTTTGCAGTCTTCCAGTCCTCCGCTGCGGGTTTATAATCCTTTCCGGTCAAATACATCCCCGATGAATATAAAAATTTTTCCTCTTAATTGCAAGATTCATAGAGCCTCATAATACCTAAATTAAAAAGAATATTCAAAAGTTGTTTTGGGTAGCTATTAGGGCTACCTCAAATTTGTGCAATATTGTACAAAAGTTCGCAAAGGAGTAAAAGCACTCAAGAAAACTCAATATTTAGCTAAGTTTGACGGAATAAAACTTGTATTTCATTGAAAATCAACTTATGTATGTATTGAGCTTACTGCAGATATATTAGAATGCATATTTTATATCTTTTTAAGTGTCTTTAGTTAAGGTTTGCATTAATAAATTTTAAATTCTTTCCGTGAGAAGAGAATTATATAAAGAAATTTTGAAAAATTTCAGATACAATTACAATATAAAATAGAAATGACTCGGTTTAGTAAACCTTCCCGGTTTTTCTACCATCAGTAGATAAAGAAATCAAAAACCTACCCTTTAATGCAACAACAGCGCACAAGCTCTTCAAAAACCACAGCAAAAACCACCCAATTGCCTTTTCAGCTGCAACCTTTGCGGACGTTTGCACAATATATTGTACAAGACACTTACAACATTTCAGTGTAAATGTACAATATATATTGTAAATTTTTTTTTACCAGTCGGGAAAAATATTTTAAATCATGATAGTTAAATTTAAGCATTTTTATATGATGAAATGCTTTTTATATTTCCATACTATGTGCTTTAATTAGCGCTTTTACTTGACTTC